AATTATAAAACGACTGACAAAAATCTATAAAAAAACCCTTTTAAAATAATAAAATTTTGGATGTATGGTACCAATTTTTTTTTTGACGGCACCATAGTCAAGTCCTGGTAATTAACTCAATAAGATAATATCATAAGAAAAGTTCAAGCATGGAGAAAATTGAATGAGTGGGGATTGGTAGTAACAATTGAAAGAAACTACTCGTAGACATTAAAAAATTAATTTCTATAATTGAGCTCAAATCAATTAGATAAATTATATTGGGTTAAACCTAAATTCCACAAGTCAAATAATATAAGCCCAAATTAATTAACAATACTTGTCAAATTAAAATAAACTGGACCTAAATTCTATGAGACCAAATAATAGAAATTCAATTTAATTAAATTGGTTTAAACTTAAATTTCATAAGCCCAAATTAAAAAGATTTTAAAGATAAATTGGGTTAAACTTAAATTCTATAAATCAACTAAAGCCCATAAATTTATATAAAAAGAATGGCCCACTACCTTAGCCCATATAAGGGTATTCAGGTAAAATACCCTTGTATTGATAACAATCCAATATACCAGCTTAAGTATCGGAAGAGATAGACGGAGATTGATGAGATTATTTGATATTGAGGAGTGTATTAATTGAATTATCCGACATTGAGAGTTGCACAGAGAAATTGATATTTTTGGGCAGACAAAAATTTTTTGAGATAAATTTTATATCATTAAATTAAAGTAGATAAAAATTGAGTTAATTTTAACCATCGTTGTGTTTTTATAAATTGAAAATCAATTTCCTAACTATAATATTATATAAATGTGCTAATTGAGCGACTCAAACGCATGCTAATTCTGTTCATTGGGCCCCCAAAGAATCATTTTCATCCTTTTGGGCCAAGAAATTTAGAAGTGGCAGCCCTATCTCTATTATGTGGCTACCACAATTCCTATGATCTTGGTTTTTACTAACCAATACTATGAACTTCCAGCAATTTGAAAAGTTTACGCTACCAAATTTCGCCACCAATTTTGTTTCTTTCTTTCAAATATTGAATTTGAACAAAAAGTACTTTATAATATTTCCTTATTACGACACACATGAAAAAAATTGAGAGAAAGCAGCCGCCTCCGGACGACAGGGTTTTCCAAAAGTAATCGGAAAGTTTTTCTTTTGGATTTATATCTAGCTACTGAACGTGTATTTTTGTCAAAATCAGCTTATTAGTTTTGGCTTCCAATCCAGCCCCAGATTGCTCCGAGACTTGTACCTTGTGACAAAATAAACAAATTCCCTGATCTTGCACCTTACTGCAAGCCAACTTGGAAGCATTCACTCATCCCGTTTGAGAAAGTAAACATATCCCAGGGTCCTCAAATTGCCAAAATTTGTCTAAACAGTAAATTTTTTTAAAAAAAATAACCAAAAATTATATCGTAATAATGAGAATTAGAAGACTGATTTCCCTAACACTCCCCCTTTTTATCTTCAAGGAAAAAAAAACACGCAATCAACAGCCCTAACACGAGGCATATTTCCAAAATTATCGTCATATAGACCATTATTTCCCTTCAACTAAGTGCTGCGGCCATAAATAACCTGCTTCATCCATATTTCTATAAACCTCCGGAAACTCGATGAGTTCATGGTTTACTAATGCATTTCTGAAACCGAAGATCCAGGCTCAAGCTAATTGTTGCTAGAACTAATGTGCTAGAATAAAACACGGTATGACTTTATTTAAATAATTTTAAAAAACTCAAATATGTATATCCTCCGCCTCTAAATACATTTACTACCAAGCTGAAAAAATTCACTCAGAGGTATTAAACAAGGGATTACCAGTTACCACCATCATCTCATATATGACCAACTCTTGTCAGCTAGATAGCAAAAGTATGGGAGAAGGCATACAAGCCATACTAAGTTCCATTTTCCTGCATCGAAAATAGCAGATTTCACCCATCATAATACATCAGAAATCCAATAATCTGGCCATCTTCCCCTAGTAGATATATGCATAATATCGAGAGAGAGAGAGAGAGACCACAGTCTAAGCACCTCTAGAGGCTAGAGTCTAGCTGTAAGTTCGCATTCGATTATTATCAATGTTGCAGCCCAAAACCTTCGTATCAAGGTCAATTTCAGGTTCACCAAGGCATCAGAATTTTGGATTTTTTTTTTCCTTCGAATAACTGTTCAACCTGAGACCCAAATAGACCAGTATGTGGGTGCTTGTTTAAGTTTAGAAACAACTCGGAGTTTGATTACCCAGACTGATCAGTTCGACTAAATTTATCCTAGTACAATTAAATGAGGTGCTGCAAAAGCCTGCCATTATAAGGAGAAGTGGGACTATGAAGTAGTACAAAATAAAGAACAGTGGTGAAAGAACAGATGACAACCCTTTAAGGGACCCCTGAAACAAAGATATTAATCAGACCCTAATATATAAAATCAAAATTTCGTACACATAAACAACAAATTTCACCATAAAAAGGCCAAAACCACAACTTTTCTTTTTCTATTATTTACATAATGTCAAAAATCTCACAAGCCACACTCCAACAGTTGAATAACCAAATAAAAATATAAGTTTCCAGTTAAAGAACAAAGGGGGTCATGGCCTGATATGAGTGCTAAAAGTATCAGGCTGACAGCCGCAATATTATATGTTCAAATCTGAGGGGCCTAAACTGGGTACCTTATTTAAAAACAAAGGGCTACTCAACAAGGCTACAAACCATTGTATGGCATCCACCGCCCATAAAATTCTGGAGGGAAAAAATTAAGACAAATTGGCAAAATAAAAACTTAAATTGTACATGCACAAATTCAATTAACCAACATACAAACACACTGAAGTTATATGAACAGATAATTTAGCCGAATATTCTACACAAATAACTGATAGTAGAAGTTTAGCTAGCATAAAGAGAATCTAAGATTTATTATAAAAACAGGTATAGAAAAAAAGGTTACCTGGGAAAGCGAAATACAAAAAAACTCGCATCAAGCAGCAGCACCCGTCACATTTCCAATTGTCTTAGTGTCGAAGATTTCAATCCAATAGCCATCAGGATCCTTAATAAATGCTATCCCTTTCATTTTCCCTACAACCAGGGGGTCATATCTTATGTCGGGAACTAGACAACCTTTTTTCTAAAAAACATTAATTCATCCCTCAATATAATAACCCACTGCCATAATAGATAACAGGAAAATTAGTCGGTGCACCATAATAAATGAAACCAAAATCGAAGGAATTTCCTACTAAACCATCGGAGTAGCGCGACAAACTGAAACATAGAATTGGATAACATGTGCATTTGTGTGAATCGCTATCAATAATACTTATATGTAACATCCAGGAACATAACTAGGTCCACCCCCTCCACTACATATAAAAAAAACTACCAGCTAGCAGGTTTATGTATAAAATTATACCCAGTCATCTGTACCTTAATTTCAACCAGAAACATTAATGCTGATTACGGAACTATTATAGAATCCTAAATTGATACAAAATTAAAAAAGTAAATATTACCATCATCAGGTTTTTTCACAAACTCCACTCCTAAACGTTCAAATCTCTCACAAGCCTTGTATGTATCGTCAACAGTAAGGCCTATGTGTCCTGTTCGCAAAAGGAGACAGGTTAGTGGATGTTGTCGAAGATCTAGAACAGAAAGAGTTGGTCAACATTTACTTACACTACGTAAGTACCGTAAATTAAAGGAAGTAGCATTACATGTCTAACTAAATACAGGTCCATTAAGTGTACAGAAAACTGGAGTAGAAAAGTCCTACAGTGGTCATGTTTGCAACACACCGATGATCATTTGAAAATAATATTACTTAATTTCCGAAAATACGTCTGTATAAACAATGAATCCAGTGTTCCAAAAATATGTCTGTATAAACAATGAATCCAGTGGTACCCTCTAACAAAAGGAAAATGAGATCAATCTCCATTTTGGGAGGGTGCTTTCTGTAAAACAGACATATGGTCCTTGTCTCATTACCTCTTATTACCAATAGGTGCAAAACATTGTACAACGTTGTCGTACAGTCAGTGACACGGATCTCACCTTTCCCAGTATAGGAGGCAGCTTTCCACAAGCCAGACATGCAGTTATTTTATAGCATGCAAGATCTTGCAAAACAAGAGCACAGCAATGTCACAATTTCACTACAGGCCTCGGCTAATACAATCTATACTTCCTTTTCAACTTCGATTTAAACAAGGGCAACCTACATTGTTCAGGGTAGTCAACGTTAAGCACGTGATGAAGTTTAGACATAAAATTCCCTCTCACAAAACCGTGAAAAGACTAATTTATGTTGAATCAGATACACTATGTTTCCACAGTGGATGCACAGAAGTACAGAAAAAAGCAATTGGCACTGAATCAAAAACAATCTAAGGTAGATGCTAGACACTAATTATGATAAATACCTGATTTATATTTTTTCAACAAATTCGAGTTAACCCATGAGTAATTAAGCTTCTCCACCTCAACTTGGGGGAAAACAGATAGAAAGAATAAAGAAAGAAAGAGGAATATCATCAAGTCAACGTTTAAGTGTCACACACCAAAGCCACGAGGTTCTGAATTTCCATTATGGTAGCCTTTGAATTCGGGATCAATCTCCGTCCCCCAATTACTGTGACAAGCATTTGACAATTAGACGTGATCAATGTGCCTGTGGATCAAGAAAAACAGAGAACAGCACAAAAAGGAAGTTCATACTGTGTGAGCTCAATTGTCGCCTTCTGACCAAAGGTCCATGCAGTACGCTCAACTGGATTGATTGGAGCTGATGATGTATCCTAAACAACAGAGAGGGGATGTGGGGAGCAGGAGGGGAGGGAAACACCATTATTATAAGAAAAATAATTAGATAAGTCTGCCCTGTACAACCATTTAGGCATTGATGGTATTACAACTCCCCACAGAAATGATATTTACTATTTTACCTCATAACCCATAAAATACAGGCTAAATTTCAGCTCCGGAAAATCTAACCTCTTCAGCAACCTGTGATAAAGATAGAAAATATTAACATGAAAATATCATAGATATTAAAAGAAAACACTCACATATACATAACCCGTGGCAGATTTTCTCTGCCCCCTTTCCCCCAAAACCCTAACAAAGGGTGGGGAGCCTACTATGAAGCACGGATGCTTCAAACAAGATGATGTATTTGTATCCGCTGTGTATTGGATACCGGATACCGATATTCATCGGATACTTGAGGATACATATCGAATTCGTTCCGGACATATTGAATAATTAATAAAATATTTATCAATGTTAGATACTTGTCGCATATACCTTAGACACACATATATCTCCACGATGAATACATTTGTCTTATACTTAGCGAGGTAAGTTGTTTAGAAAGCGTGAATCATATAAATGGAGATTCCTCATTCCAAAATGTTTATTTGGACATGCATCACATATTTCACAAAATTTGTCAATTCTTTACCGATTGGTTGGCTTGAATAACGAATTTTTATGGCTTATGTTAAAGCGAATGAAGTTTATTACAATTAAATGTTAAAGTAAAAGTTAAGAACTCTAAAGAGGTGACACCTTTAACTTTAGAATTACATAGAATTTTCAATTTAAAATATCATTAAGCAGTCCTATGTCAATAACATAAATTATTTTAATTTGGGTGTATTTTATTTTTTAATCCTTCCTATCCCTAGTGTTGTAATAATATTCTAATACACACACACACACACACACACATATATATAGACGTGTTCTAACCGTATTCGTATCCTAACCGTACCAATATCCTACTATTTGAAATTTTGGCGTATCATTGTTTTCGTATCCTGTGGTTCCCATATTTCATATTTGTATTCGTGCTTCTCAAGGAGCCTATGAGCAGGAAACAATGTCAATAGAGTCTTGACTCTTGAAAGAAAGTAGGGAGGGAGAGAAGGAGGGCACTAAAGCAGTTACATAGCCACAAAGCAATGGTTCAATCATTCCCTTGAATTTATTCTTGCTATATCTAACTTAGGAAGCTCTAATAGGAATACGAGATACAGATATAGCACAATACGACAAAACCTCAAAAAATAGATGTTGGAACATGCTTGATATGTCTATAAAAAATATATTAACTAGTTAGTTTTCTTAGAATATTTGCTACTAAGATTACAATGTAATTAACTCATTGATATTCTTTTGACATGTGATGCCCATTTATCTTCAAATTCATATGAATATTTGTTGATTAAATCATATGTGAATCCGAAAAGAGGTTTAAAAGATTAATATTAAAAATTATACATATTGCTCTGCATGTTAGAAGTTTTCACGAAGTATCTGTATATTTTATTTATTATTAGATATGTATGGTGCCTACCCGATACAAATTCTCAAGTATCTAACGAGCAATAACCTCGTATTTTACTGTACAATATCAAAAATTGAACTGATATTGTAATATATGAATTTTAAATAATAATTTTGTTTTTTTAATTACACAGTTTGAAATTAAAATAAAGAGCGGAAAAAAAAATTTAGGATGAATTATGTACCATTGGATCAATCTTGACAGTTGTTGTGCCTTTATAAGTTGAGAATTCAACATTCTAGATGTAATATTAGATAGATATATCACCCAAAATAGTAGAACCAAATTAGATAAAATATCATTATTTACAACTAAACAGAAACTCTTCGAGATAAGACAACTTACGACATGCCCAATACGCCAGAGTAGAAATCAAGACTGATTTTCGGATCCTTAATCCGATACATCTGATACGAAAAACACATCCAATCATTTGAAAAAAAAAATTAAATATACTACTAAAGTCACACCCATATGAATGATTGGAGAGATGTATTGCTTACAGTTTGTTGCATAAAGTATCCCCTGGTAGCTTCATCTGGGGTAGTGTGAAGGCCCGGGTTGTTGGATGGAGATTCTTTGGAGTCCGAAGCCATCGATGACGTTATGAATCGAGACCGAGTAGAGGAAACCTGCACAAGTCAAGGACAGATAGAAATGAATATGAGACAATCAGTTAAAGAAATTGAATTGGGGGAATTGAAGCAACAATAAACAGGTTTGTGACCTTATAATTAGGTTGGAGATTGAAAAATGAAGGGATTGAATACGAAAATAACGAAGATAAAGAGGGAATGGTGGTGACTCGGAGGAGAGAGAGGCGAGCTATGGAAGCCATTTTGGCTATACTTTTAACTTACCTTTGTCTGAATTTAGAAACGAGACGAACACAGTGACTGTGTTGAGGAATGGATGAGGGGTTACATAATACAACCACGTAGGTTGGAGTCGTTGGACCACTTGTGGGGTCACTATTTTTAAATTTTAATTTCATTTAAAAATGAAAAACAATATATTAAATTAATAAAAATATCACATTATTGTGAAGGCACTAAAGACATTTTTTTCATAAAACAGTGAGTACTCTCTTGTGCAGGGGAGCAACTTAGGTGGCTAATCCAAGTTCAACCCGAAGCTATCCCCAAAAAAATAGTATTTGGGTTAAAAAATTTTATACTTGGTGAACAACATCAACTCAAATTGAATTTAGACAATACTCGGGTTAAAATCAGGTTAGAGCTAGAATTAAAGTTGAAGATTTTATATATAAGATTAGACTAGATTTAAGTTAACCTTTAAACCCGGCTAACCCGCCCAAGTTGTATCCCCTATTCTTATTTTCCTTTTTTTTTTTGTGTACAAGGTAAACACTAAACATGGCATGGACCATTTAATTATGAAAAATTATATTCAAATCCCTTAAAATTTATTACTTAATCATCTAGACTCTCTAATATTCACAATATTATACACAAACCCCTATCATTAATGTTCAATAGTAAATTATATCTAAATCCTTGAAATTTAAAGCATGTAATACTTAAATTTCTCAAATTTAAAATATTATATTTAAACCAAATATATTTTAATTAAAGATAAAATATCAAATATTTTAAAATTTACAACTAAAATTTATATTCTATTATGTTATTTATTGAAATAAAAATCCAATTTTTTCTTTTAAAAAATCATAATTAGTATTGTTGATGCAAAATTTAAATGACCTCTACATTAGTTTGTTGGGTTTTAATCACCTTAAAAAGATGTTGGAGACAAGAGGGGAGCTCTGAGGGTCGACTCTCTGATATCTAAGTCAATAAATGACTCAAATGTATAAACAACGTTTAGAAGCTAAAAGTGACAGACTTGAAGCATCAATGGAGCTCTAATTATAAGAGTTCCAATAATTTGAATTATATAGGGATAATGATTAATGATCTAGTCAATCATAGAAAAGATCCTCATCTTTATATGTTAATTTGACATTATTCATGCGATTAAATTTAACTTATGCATGATATGTAGAATCCTATTCAAATTAAAATTCTTGACATGATGGACTGGACTTGTATTAAATGAACTTTTCACTTTAAGTCAAATCTTTTATCATCAAATACGAATATATGAAATAAGTCTAATTAACATATTTGCATATTCATTATATCATTCATTTGCATAAAAACCAAATAAAATATTAACTTTTTTAAAAAAATATAAATCAATATAAATATATCAAAGAACATAATTAAACACTCATTTACATGCAATTATACTGTCTACTGGATAAAACTAAAAAAAACCAAATAAGGAATCAAACTGTAATTGATACAATATCTTCTATCTTTAATTAGGATAATATGATTATTTAATAGATTTAGTTAATTTCATAACTAATAATAAGGGTGTCAAATGTGTCGAGTTAAACGGTTACATGTTAGGTTAAACGGGGTTATGAGTGAAAAATATGTAAACCTGTACACGACACGTTTAATAAACGGGTGAAAAATCTCAACACAAACACGACCCGTATAATAAATGAGTAATACAACGCGACTCGTTTAACCCATTTAATTTTAAAAAAAAAATTATATCTACAAATTTGAATACTCAACTTTTTTTACTCCACTTTTTTATTGCCAACTGTACTTACCAAGAGAATTTTCTAGTCAAATATTATATAAAAATCAATCTTGAAGGTTAAAAAAAAAAAAAAGGCAAGAGGTCATGCCTTTTATAGGCAAGCCAACCCTCTCTATCTTCCCTCATTTGTCGATGTGGAACAAAAACAAAAGACATTGATTTGCCTTTATCTTTAAACTACTCCCCCTCTTCCCATCTCCCCTCCGTTGCTTTTGAAATATTGATTTACTTTTTTTTTTTGTATTGATTTTTTTACTTCTTTTTTTTTGGATAATTTTTTAAAATAATTATTAATTTTTTTAAACGGGTAAACGTGTGATAATCGATTTGACAGATATTACCCGAATACGAGCCGTTTATTAAACATATCTGACTGGTCAACCTGTTTACCACCCAAATCCGTTAAGATCTTACTCAAACCCGTTTAATTTGTGTCAATTAATCGTATCGTGTCAGATTTTGACAGATTTAATTAATAAAAGGTGTAAGTGTAATATTTCAAATTTGAGAAATTTAAGTATTACATCCCTATAAGTTTTAAAAGGTCTGAGTGTAATTTACCATACTAACGGACTTTAACGAAAGGATTTAAGCGTTAAACGCGTACAAACTTCAGGAAGGTAAGTGTATAATATTTTAACTGCCAGTGACAAATCTCAAAAAACTTAAGTGTAACTTTTCCTTTATTAAATTTTGTTATAAGGTAGTCAAACTTACACCGACTACTCTCACAAGTTCAGCGGCTGATCATCGTGTTACCAAATACTTAGTCCCTAGTATAGCCTATAATGATTAATTAGGAAGTGTCCTGAATCTCTAGTTTTGGTTTAAGGATACAGAGCCCATGTCCATGCTAACAAAATATGTCAAATATCACGAAAGAATGGAGTTTACTTCCTGACAGTTGGATACCTCATTTAAGTATTAAGAAAATCTCACATTAGAAGCTCAATTGAGATTCAATAATGCTATTTAGATCCAATTTGTTAATATAAATTATTACCATAATTCATTAAAATTATTGGAATTGTTGCATGTCCTAACAAATATTTTGGATCTACCGTCGATTCAATAATTATGAATAATTAGGTTAATAAATTAAGTCCAAGTACCAAATATTACTAATTAAAACATGCGTGACAACAAAAAAATCAAAACAACATACATTAAAAGTTGGTGAGAATCTAAAAAAAAAACCAAATAATAAAGAGGAATGTTAATCAGACATAATTATCTGGCATAATTTACTGTGCCTAATGATAAATCCAATTGTTAGAACTCAAGATTGATCCAATGATACCAATAATGAAATAGATCAGATGATTATGTAAGAAAATTATCTTACAAACTCTGAAGAAAAGTATTATTTATGGCACTACAACCTCTCCCTCCTAAAACTAATACCAGTCCAAATCTGCTCAGTATTGGGTATTCATTGCAAAAAGTAGGACAAGTTTTTCACTTTTTTTCAGATAGTGTAGCAACCTATCCTTTATGAAGGAAAAGGAAAAGGAAAAGGAAAAGGAAAAGGAAAAGGCAAATAGAAAATGTCAACAACACAGCTGTGCTCATCTCCAAATTAAAATATCTTTTCCAGTAGTTCAGCTGGGCATGACAGTAGAAGACCTGCCATCCACAAAATCAAAACAATATATATATATATGTAACTACAAGTTACAGATTCATTTAATCACTCCTGCACTGTGCTAGTGTGTGTCACGTGATTCTACTGTATTTTTTTGCACTTAATTGGGTGGATAGTTGACCGGAAGAGAACTTCCATTCAACTGGCCAAGCAAGCAGGCAGCCGTGCTCCTCTTTTGTGACAACACTAGAAAGCAAGTTGCTCATTTGCAGACAATGAGCAAAGCACAGCATCAGGGCGATTCAGCAAGACAGTGACCCCTTCTAGCATAGGCATGGTTGGTAGAAGTTTTGCCATCCACAAGACAAAGCAACCGCCATGCATACAACACTCTGAATCTACATAGAAAATGAGGAGAGCACTTTCACAGTATTGTAATATTCAATTAATTCACTACCTAAAATCATAGTACAATTTATAAGAAAACTCAAAATCCTAAGGTTTCCAAAACAGAAACAAATCCAGTCTTAAGAAAGTTTACTAAAAACAAATAAACACATGCCTAATGAATTAAAAAAATTGACACGAATTAGACAACAAATACCTCTAAATTATTCCTAATTAAAATCTCATCCTAACAAAATAATAAAAATAGAAAATAAAAGTAAAATATGAAAAATAGTAATTCTTGTTCTTACATCAGTAAAGCAAGGTAAGATGAAGAAAAACAATCAATTAGCCGGTACAAACCTTCCCGGAAATAACATTACTTAAAATGTCCCTCAAAATATGTTTAGGAACCTTAGGCTTAAAAAGTTAAAAACTTTCAAACTGAGAACAAGACACAGATGTGTGCTTCACATGCTCTCCCAAATTTCTTGTAATGTTGCTGATCCTATGAAGATTCTAAATGATTTAATTCGTATAATCAATGAAACAAATAGCTTTCAGCAAAAGCCGGTCTTTACTTCAAACTGAAACAAATTATTAGCAGCAGTGACATTGGGCAGCTTCAAGTGGAAGCTCATCTACTAAATCCCTACACTTAAATTTGAGAATACATAGCTGAATGCTAAAAGCCAACTCTAGATAGATATCCCAATGCAAATGTTACATTAATATGTACGTTAGAAAGAAAACTCAAAAAAAAAAAAAGAAGGCAAAGAAAGAAAAGGAATGTAGCTTGTAACAATGAAAAAATAAAAAGAAAAGAAACCTTGCATCCATTGGTGAAACGATACCTGTCACTATAACAGCTCATGTTAAATTTTTGGATGGGAAAAGATCTGAGATGTGAAATGGAAGAAGAGTAGAAACACATGAATTTACGTGCTTCGGCCTATGAGACCTATATCCATAGACATAATACCCCGAAGGGCTTTCACTTCCATTGATATCTCTCAAACAGTACATCGGATCTCTCTTCCACTACTCTCCACTACAAAATCAAACGAGGATCTTTATTTGCACCTTGTTGTATCTGATCATATTGCGAGTGCAAAGAGAGCTTGGATGGGAGCAAAAGCCAACCCACTATATAAGCAAGACATTAATAGAGGCAGAAACTAGGTATCTGCAACTAGAAAGGGCAGCACTAACCCTTGTATGCAATGTTTGAAAATAAATTAGGCACTATTTTCGGCGCAAACCGTTATAGTTCTCACCAACCTTTC